GTCTGATGACCTTGCCTGCAGTGCAAAGTGCCAAGAATGCCCCATGTTTTCTCAGGGTGGGGTGCTGTCCACCATTAATGCCCAGCAAAGCTGATGACAGGGTGAACACACGCTGGGATTGCTGGTGCATTTGCTGGGGGGCTTGGTGGGGGAGGATCCCACATGCCACCACCTGGTTATTTTGGGCAATAGGCTGAGCTGCTGAGCTACATCTTTCACTGCTTCATCCAATTTTCTGCCCCTACAGAAGCATTTCTCAGACATTAACGCTTTTCCCATCTAGATGTCATGTTTCTGGGAGACCTTTATGCATCCCACTATGAGCCCACTGCATATGCTTTTACCCTTGTTCAAATCTCAGAGCTGAAGTGCTGTTGTTAAAGGTGCTCAAGTGTTTTGCAAGCCTCCACTGACAGAACAACGTCTGCCTTGCAGGTCAAAAGGTTTTCTGTCTGCTTACTGACCTCTTTTTTACCAAGGCTAGCTGGATATCTGTTGCATTTGGACAGATACTGTTGAGGCAAGTGGGGAGTTTATTGGCAGACATTTAACCCTTGTCCCTTTTAGATTTTTTGGAGCTTCAGAAGTCTTATATCCCTCCGATTTTCATATGAAGAAGCTGAGGCACAGCAAGTTGCAATGGTTTGTCCCAAGCAAGTCTAACTAGAAAGTGCTTAAAATCCAAATTTCTTGCTAATCAACCTGGGTCTTGATCAGATTGTCCTTCTGTTTCTGGTATTAGAGCCTGCTGGTATCTGTGTGAAGAGAGAGGTCATCCTGCCCTAAGGTAAATGGAAATTTCCTGGAGCATGATGATGTGTTGCTTCTCCTATTGTTCCCAAAATGAACAAAGAGTTGGTGGAAACAGGAGCAAACCATTATCGTAGATGGACCAGCTACAGAGCATAACAAAAGTAAGCACCTTCCTTGAGCAAGATGGTGTTTGCCATACATGCTGTAGTACCACAGTGCCCCATTGCAGGGTGGTGCCTGCCAGGTGAAATGTAGCCTCCAGTGATCACCTTAGAGCGGTGCTCTCCAGGCTGGGCTGGATTTTGCCCTGCTTTGTAGGTAAGTGTGGTTGCCAACACCTGCACAGAGCAAAGATGTTATGCTAACAGACCTGAAGAGCAACATCTGCTACCTGTTTGACCGTGGCAGGGTGCACAGCCAGGTCAAAGTGTGAACGGCAGCAACACTGAAGGTGAAAATGAAGCCAGCAGTCTTAGGCTATGGGTCTTCTACCACTCTCCAGTGCTGTGTGTCTGTAGTCGTCCCTCCATCATGTGTTGGAGCCTAATCTTTCTTGTAATTGTCCATCTGGATCAATTTACAGATTAAGCCCTGCAGCCAGCTGTGGGAAACATAGAGGTATGGCTCCATGCAGCATATCCAGGGATGGCCTGGCCTGCTCAGTGGTCCTGCCTGGAGTCCCATGCTCTTCCCAAACTCCATTTGCAATGCAGGTAAACTGTAAAGGAGAGGAGTATGTGTAAAAGAAGGGAGATACACCAATGTGTTTGCATTTTCCTGCCTCTTTGCAGGCTTTCCAATGAGAGACAGAATAATTGCATGGCCCTTGGTATCATGGGTTTGCAGTTTCCCTCTTGAAGCCTTTAGATGTGGATCACAGCCCCATGTTGGTAGGTTACACAGGCAGCTAACAAGGAGACCCTGTCAAGCTTTGAGGCTAGATACCCTATGAAAGGCCAAAACAGGATAGCTCAGACATGTGGGTGGAGTAGAGCTGAAAGGAGAATGTGACAGTGCAATGGAAGGGTGTAGTGGAAAATCAGGAATGGCACCTTGCAACTAGTCTAACCAGGACCCTGGGGGAGAAAGTTTCCAGGTGTTGTGGAAACAGCCTTGCAAACTTCTATGGGGAGGTGGATGTTTTATTTTTCCATGCATATGAATGAGCGCAAAGGTGTTTGGCAAAGAGCTAATTCTCAAACTTTGGTGCATTACCCCTCACTTAACCATTGATCAGTGAGTGCTGCAGGACACCACCACTGCAATTCATGGAAAGAGACAATTAGAAATGGAGTAAGATACTCTATAAGAAAGGAGATAATTTCAGGAATCCCTGAGAAGTCCCTGCCTTATCTGGTCATTTCAGACCCTGTGCACTCTCTAGCCTCTAGCCCTCTTGGCTGCAATGTCTCTCTTGGTGCCAGAGCAAAACCTCACTCGAGTGTGCACTTCAGAGACTCTTCTGAGAGGATAGGAGAAGGCAGGATGTTCATTGGGTAGGACAGGGGTGAGGAGGACAAATGCACCAGGGAGGTATGGCAGGTTGGTAAGAGAAGGGCCGTGGGTCCTGCATAGATTTAAGTTGAAAACTACTTTGTCATCTGGTTGTGCAAGAGCATCTGTGGCAGAGGGAATGTGTGCAATGGACAGGAAGGAGGGGTGCCTGGATGTGTGCATAAGGAAGTACCTGCAGCAGCTGTTGTAATTGTTTTAATAAAAGAATGTTTCCCTGAATTTCTCTTTTGGCACCTGAGGGCCCTTCCCAGGATGCCCTTGCTAAAGCTGCTGTTTGATTTCCAGGGCAAAAGCAGTACACACACACACAGAGCCCCATCTTGTTCATGCAACCCACAATCCCATCAGCACACAGCTCCTTTTCCATTTGCTAACAGGCAAGGGGGAGTGCGGGGGTTGAAATAATGACAGACCTGATTATAATTAATATTTTTTTAAGTCTGAAGAGTGAAAGTCCTGCCCAAGTCCCCCAGCTGAGCACAAGCCAAAGTGCTAAATCCCTGCAGGGGTGTGTTTTATTACTGACGCTCTGCGTGTTGAGGCTGGTCGCGGGGTCTGATGCTGTGTGTGTGGAATTTTTGTGGCTATTTTCTATTGTGCCAGTGAAAAGCAGGATCTCATCCGTATAATGAAAAGGAAACTTGAAGGTTTCCACACCTTTATGGAGGTGAATACTTGCAGCATTAGTGTTTTAATTATTTTACCTTCACATGATTTTCATAGAATTGCAGAATATTTTGAATTGGAAGGGACCCACAAGGGTCATCAAGCCCAACTCTTAAGTGAATGGGCCATATGGGGATTGAACCCACAACCTCGGTGTTATTAGCACCATGCTCTAACTAACTTAGCTAATCTCAGTTCCCTATATGATCCCATTGCAAATGATGGAGTAGATGCTACTGGGGTCAGAATATGATGGAATTCTCAATGGCTCTTCCACAAAGGGTTCTGTTTCTTTACTAGGCTGGTCTGTAGCTGGGTTGTTTTACAGTCTTGTAAGTGTTCAATGGGCAGAGTGTGCTGGGTTTGATTCGTCCCTGACTGCTCCTCTTTTAGGAGTAGGGCTGTGTGGGGAGGATGGGGACTGAGAGGCACTGATTACTTCTTGATCCTCTCTTGCTCAGCTGGGTGATTTCAAATAGATCTTTACATCTCCTCAGGGCTCTGTTTTATCTGCATGCCTGAGGTCACAGAGCAGAGCTGAAGGTTGAGCTGGGTATGAAAGCTGCCCTTAGCCCAACTCTGTACACAGGGTAGTAGTGGGGCAGCTGCCCTTCCCAAAACAGTCCAAAGCCACATACTGCAAGCACTGATCACTTCAGTGGGCTGAGAGACCCTAAGCCCACACCAAATTAACAGGAGGAGAAAGCAGTTTCCTATGTGACACCTTGGAGGTACCTTTGACTGGGAATTGTAGTGGTCCTGGCTGCAATCCTGCAAGCTTTCCAAGACCGACCAAGCTTTTTGGATGTGAAAATGTGGAGAGCCTCCAAGAGCCTTGGGGACCAGAGTTGTGTTTGCACCTCTGCAGCCCTTGGTCTCTTAAGGCAAATTTCGACCAGCAGAGCATATGTGGCACTCCCCTGAGAAAGGGGCTGCCTGAATACAGTCCCCAGCAGATTCCAGATGTCCCTCTTCTCTGTCCTCCTCACAAAGGAAGGGTGTGTTGTGCCTGCTATAGCTGTCTTTCTCTTGCCACCTTAGCAGGTGAGAGGCTATTGGGACACAGGCTCACGGGTGGCAGCTCACAGCTTCCCCAGCCAGCTTCAAGCTAGTCTTAGGAAAAGAAGATATATCTCTACAAGGTGGCTCACTGTCTTCTCCCCCCATGTCTATCAGCAGGAATTCCACCAGGAATATGGCTGAACAACACCAGCTTGGTGGCTGTTCTCTCCATTCCAGGATGGGTGTCTCTCCACATCCCACACAGCTGGCCCATGTACTGCTATTGCTCAACCTCCTATTTTCTGCCCTCTTGGCAATGATGTGGACAAAACCAGCCTATAAATCTGTTCCCTGTGAGCTTCAGTGCCTGACCCTGGATCTCCAGTTTGTACTTGTAATACCTGCAACCCCCAAGTGATCTGTCATCTAGGGGTAAGATGCTTTGGGCTTTGAACTTGGCATCCCAAAAATACATTCGGCTCTGCCTGACAGAGGTCTGAGGCTTTCTCTGAAACTCTATTATTGTTTTCACTGGATTTTTTTGACCTTCCAAGTCCTCTTTTTTTTTTTGCACTCCCAGAACAGCATGCTCAGCATCTAAAGGACAAAGCTGGCTGGGGCATGCAGACTCTGAGCAGCGTAGGAGCTGCCGGGAGAGAGGAAGGGCAGCAGGACGGCTGTGACAGAGCACACGCGGCCACTGCCCTCAATGAGCCAGTGTGCCCATCACTATTGAAATGAAAGCACAGCAGGTCTCCAAAGAGTTCTCTCATGGGTCTTGCTGAACTTATAAGCTGGGACCACAATATAACTTAATTTCCTGAAATGTCAAGTGGCTTATACTGGCTGCCTGCTCTATTGGTGTTTTTCTTACAAACACATTGTACTCCCATTTCCTGCAAAAAGTTCCTATCAGTGCTTGATGATTGCTTAATAAGAGAAATCCGTAAGGACATGGAAAGTTCACATCCTGCAGATGAATATAATGACTATAAGCTTTCTTCTGGGTTGCCAGAGGCTTTTTTTGGTTGTGGTTTGATTTATTTGTATTTTTATCCATCCAGCCGAGAACATTGATCTGAAGCTGTATCCTGCAAATGCTGAGCCCATTGGTGAGCTGTAGGAGGCCTTCAGCAACCATCAACCTCACTCCAGAAGGAAAGAGTAGAATTTCCTGGATGATCAAGCTGGGAAAAGGTATATCAAATTGGGAATAGTGACAATTTGGGGAGCACAGCTCTCACTCATATTTTTATTACCTGTCTTGTGATAGACTGTGGGTTTTGTTTGATTTTGCAATGGAAGAGGGCTTGTATAATCATAGTGTGGGTGTGAACTCTTATGAAGGTGACTGTAAGGCTTGCAGACAAGCCTGAAGGATCCCAAATAGATTTGTTGTTATTTTTTATATCCCAGTTTCTAGACAAGTCTTTCTGTAATTTCTTAGGTGTGATTCCTGAGTCCTGTTGGCTCTTTATTCAAGATCAGTCTTTTATCATTCTTGTGTGAATTAACACTCTTTTAGATCTGGATATACTGGGTTTATAGGGAACCTGGTAGAAAATAAAAAAGCTATTTCTTCATGATAATTTTCATGGCTAACTGTAATGCTCCTCTGCCTAGAGCTTTCCCACTTAAACATGCTGTGCAGTGTATCAGCTAACTGTACAGCCTAGGTAAGTGATAGCTAAATAACACTCCCTGCCATTTGTAGGGCATTTGAACTTCTAAGCCCTCAGTTTTCCCAGTTGGCACCATGTCTCTGAGGAGACCTGGGACTGAAGTATGGTGCTGAGCAGGGGGCCACTGAGAGCCACCCACTGGGAAATATTTGGCAGAGGGACTGACTGGCAATTTAGACTGGCTGAACATATGCCTGAAGGGAAAATCTTCTCTTGTGGTGACTGTTTGCTTTCCAAATGTCTCTTGCAATTTGTGTCCTCTCCCAGCTATGCTTCACAGTTCTCATCTCTGTTCCTCATACAAGACCTTGGTCTCCAAGAGTCTGATGGAGGAAAGTGATTGTAATGGAGAGCCTTGCCTGATTAGCTGTCAGGAACATATTGAAAATAATGCAATTTTTATGCCACTCCCTATATTTTAGAACCTGAGGGCCAATAACAGAGAAACTGGTCAAGCTAAGATAGAAAAATAATTAAAAAAAGGCATTTTAATACTAAAAATATAATCACACTGCACACGTAGGCAAATTCCTTTGTTCAGCTCCTTCCCATCGCAGTACATTACATATCCCATTTGCAGGGGTAATCATCTGATTACACAGTACTGTCTTGGTTCCCTAAATACTGGAAAATATTAAGGCACTGAGGTAAATAAACCTTGGTGTATGGTACTGCCTGTTGCAGAGAGCAGATTCAATAATTTTTTGTGTCATCCCTTTGTGTGGATGTGTGTACACTGCCTAGCTGTAGAAAGCACTAATGTCTACTCACATTCTGCAGAAGGAAATTTGAGATGATTAAAAAAATATTCTATTTAATTTTTTGGGGGAGTTTAATTACAAGCAGGCACTCATAGGTGTTATGAAAGAAAACATATCAGTCTTGCATTTTGGGTACAACAGTTCTGTGACTGTCCCACTGTTTGCAGTTGCCCTCTGGCTGTTCAGGGCCTTTTTGAGTCAAGGGGGAAAATGTTACATGGGGCAAAGGATGCAGTGACTGGTTGTTTCATGCCTGGTCAGCATGAAGGCAATGGGGCCTAAATCCATGTACTTCCTCACTAATATGGCCATTACTTGTTATTAATCTGGCCACTCTCACTACCCAAATTTCTGTTACAAGTTCAAGACTGACTACCCGAACTGAGGAAAGAGAGAATTTTTGCACTTCACAGATAAATCATCTCTTTAGAGGTCTAGCCACACAAGCATCCTCTGACCCAACTGATTTGGAAGCAGTTCTCAGTGCAAGAAGCCAACTGGGGTCACCCACGAGCATTGCAAGAGGCTCCACTGTCTCCTCACCCCAAGGGGCCAAGATATTTAGACAGCTGCCTCACTATGAATGGGACTCTCTGGCAAAAGAATTAAGCAAAGATTAAAATCAGTTTTAGCTGTTAAATGTGTGCTTTGCACAGCATTTAACAACTAAAAGGCTAATTATCTTTGAACTTATGCACGTGGTTTTAGATGTGATCCGCACAAGTTGCTATTTTTTCTGTTGTCTACAAGGAGCTGAAAATGAGGATAGAAATGAGATGCTGGTGTCAGTAAGGGCACAGCTTTTTGAGTAGGGTGGAGGCGGTGCCCGGTCTGCAGGGAAGTAAGGCGCCTACTGAATGAGATAGGTTAAAAAAATTATTCTAACACTTGTCATTCAGACTCTCCTATTTAATGGAAGTTCATGCTCTTGATTAAGGAAATGCAAGTGTGCATCTAGGTAGGAAAATGAGACTACTCTGAGAGAAAGCCAAGCTCATACCTGGAGGGAAAACGTAGTCTGGATGTTGATGTTTGCAGGGCACAGAGAATGAAATCTGAGAGGTGAGGAGCACTGCAAGACCTACGTAAGTCAGTGCAGAGCACATCAGATTGAGTTTTAGAAAGTTCTGCAGAAAGATAAGAAGATACGGAAGAGTTTGGTGCTAAGCTGCAATATAATAGAGGGACTCCATGTCCCTGTGCAGCCTGGGTGCTTTGGAAAGCTGCATCAGGCTCAAGATACCCATGTCAGTGAAAACAGACAGTGGTAAGAGGTAACATGGTTGATACAATGCTGGTTCCATTCAAAAACCCTTTAGGGAAGTAAGTGAGCATTGCCAAATTGTGATCAAAAATTCTGGATCTTCTCATTCAGCACAAGTCAAATCATGACATAAGACAAACTTTTTTCAGAGTTTTTTTTAACTTCAACTTTTTTAACCTGTAGATTACCCTTAAACTATATTTCAAGCTTCCTTCTTAACCATAAATCATACAGTTGTTACAGAGATGGGTCCAGGAATCAAAAGTAACTTTATCATACAGCCGCTGAAGGAGGACTGATTGGAAGCCCTAATGTTAATGCAGTTTTTGCATGGCCTTTACACAGTTGAAGATGTTCTTCTTGCTCCCTTTTAACCAGCTCTCCCCTTGCCTAAACACCCCAGCTCATGTGGTTGCTGGAGATCATGTATCCCAACCTTCTGCTTTTCCATGGACTCTGCAACCTGTCCACATCTTTTTTGAAGGGTGAGTCTGAGGCTAGAGGCAATCCACCAGTCGAGAACTTACCCATGTTGAGGAGGGAGGAAGGATGCCTCTACAATTACAGTATGTTGTACTGATTTTTACTAAATTAAACTTTCCCCCTCCCCAATTTCTGCAGATTATCAAGATAATTTTGAATTCTGATCTTCTATTCTGTATAATGTCAGCTTTTCTCAGCTTTTTTGCCTGCAGGAGTAGTATACATATTGTCAATTAATTAATTTGATTTTCTTTGTGAAACTATTGAATGGAACTAATTTCTAAGAACGAGGCTGTCAAGAAGAACACCCAAGATGATGCAACTTATGAAATGTTTATCAGATGTACCAGCTACAACACTTTTGCCCTGTCTAGGAGAAGATTAATAGTTATTTTTCACCTAGTCTTTCTGTGTTTCATGGTTCTTTGTGTTGCAAAGCAACAAATAGGTAGATAGTGAAATTGGTAGATAGTGGTTATAGAGCTGTTTTGGGTCCAGAGTTCAGACCTTCTGGTACCAGCTCAGGGGCAGAGTCACAGTCTGACCTTTCATGAACCTCTGAAGATTGTCAGACCTCTGTTTTGTCACGTGTAAAGCGTGGGTCAATAAAGTTAATTCTGTAAGCAGTGGTGAAGGTTTCTGCATTGATGTCAGAGAACCAATGCTATGAAAAGGCCACATTCAAGAAAAACTCAATGAGAACTTTTTACTTCAGTGTTCAGCCAGGCCTGGATTGTAGGACAATAAGACTTCGTGATTTATGAAGTGTAAGGTATGGATTATGCATTTGAGAAACTCATTAAGGATAGTAACATGCCTTAATGAAAGAAAGATCTCTAGCTCAGGCAGCTTTGATTTGAAGATATCAAGGGAAAACCAATTTCTTTTAACAATGCAAATGGGTTCTGAAGTGATGATGAGGAGATGAATATGCTGCTTGGAGTAGAGCTGAGCAGCAAAGCCTTGGTTGTGGCAAGGTTCATGAAAGGCATCTTTGAATGACAAGCACCAGTTTGGGCAAGAGGTTTTCACTCTGAGCCAGCCAGGAGAGGTTAGAGATCTGCACAGTACATTTTCCTGACAACTCTTCTGCTTTGTCCTTATTTCCATGGCTCTGTTGGTTACCTACCACCTTGGAGAGCTGCTGCAGGCACTTTCTAGTGGGCTAATGTCATTGGTCAGAGATCGCTGTGTATGTAAAATCTGGGAGAGATCTATACCATCCCTGCCCAACTGATGTTTGTAGATGATGGGTGAGGCAGTGATGGCCCAGAGAGCTCCACTGCCTTGGGCTATGATCTCATAAGTTAAGCAGGGTTGGGCCTGTTTGTTTTTGGAAGGGGACTTAGAAGGAGAAGTTGATTGCTACAGTCAATTTGACTTGGTAATTCAGAAGGTGGTGCTCTTCCCCCTAGGTAGCACAGGCTGACATGCCAGGATGATTAGGCTCACCACAACTCCTAACCTTTTGGAAAAAATGTAAACCCAACATCCTCACCTTTCCAGAATGAACATCACGGGACTCCTGCTATTACACCGAAGTCCCAACCAAATTCCACCTCAAAGCAACCACGCCCTGCAGATGGAGATCCACCCTGCCCTTCCAGGAGGATGCAATAAACTTTGCTTTCCCTGCTGGGTTACATTGTACCTCCAGCTGAATCGCTGCAGAGCTCAGTACAGATGGTAGCAGTATTACTCGGACAGGCAGCAAATGCCCTTTCAATTAACCTGTGCCAGTGTTATCAGTATAAAATGACTGTTTAAATAGGTGTTTTCCCACCAGTAGGGATTTTTGGAAGCCTTGGTGGTGCCTGGTTTGAGCAATGGCTTCCCTGTGCTGAATGCGGGGTAGCAGCTGGAGCCTCCCTCTGCTTTGCCTTTGGCTCTTTCTGCTGCAGCACAATGCCAGGCTCTTACAGCACAGGCACACTCTGCTGCCCACTGCCCTCTTAAAGGGACAAAAAAAATTTGCTTAGCTGTTTTGCACACCTCTTCATAAGCCAGTGTGGCTACTTGGGCCAAATTCTGGACTGATGTAAGTTATTAAGCAGCATGTAGGTGTAAAGTGCAGCGATTTTCTGTACTGAGTGGGTGGTAAGGTAGGGGTGCAGCAGGAAAAGCAGCAAAGAGGATGTCATTAGACAACATGCTCTCTGTGTGAAGGGCTGCTGGGAATGGAGCTCTGGTTGCTTTGGCCATGTCTAAAGGCAGATTTGTTCAGTATTTGTTTGTTTTCAAAGCTGTGAGTGCACTTGTGTGCATTCTTCTCTTTTGGTTTAGCTTAAACCTTTCCTAATCCTGTTAGCAGAGATAAACCTCCCTGAACCACAAGTAAGTATCGGCACGGGAGTTTGCACGAGCTGAATTAAATCTGTGTGAAATCATGCAGGGTGCCCTTGTGTGGGTAAACACAACCTCATGTTGACACCTTCCTTCCAGCATCCTTGCCCTTCCTGCCTGTGTTGCCTCTGCTCTCCCCTCTTGGCAGGGGAGGTCACATTGAAGCTTCTTGTTCTCAGTTTCCACAGGAAAATAAGCAACTCCCCTCCCACCATCACAGTGACTATGCAGGAAAAGGGCTGAGTGAAATGGAACCAGGCTCTCTGTTTGGGGTCTGTCACTGAAGGGCTCACTGAAGGGAAGGCTGTGTGCCAGCAGGACCAAGTCCCTGGCCTAGTGACATGCAGACGAGGAGATTGCTCTCTGTACTAGCCCCACTGATTTCTGCTGTCCTGGCAAAGTGCAGTGGGAGAGGCAGGCAGCTGGGCTTAGCTCGGGCTTTTGCATATTCTTTACCATGCGTGTCCTGTCTTGACAGTATTTATGCAAATTTTTAAGTAGAGGAAAAAGCTGTCACGTAAAACAAAAAATTTATCTGAAGGCCAAATATGTAGGTTGGTTGGCTTGTGTGTTTTCTTTTTTTTTTTCCCAATTAAAAATAAAGTAACCTATAAAATGATGATCTAGTTTAATATCCTCATTACATGTTCCAGGCAGCATCTGAGTCATGCCGTTTGCACTGTGCTTTGTACCCCTGCGGGGGATGTAAAAGTTCCATTTTTGGAATACTCCTTGGTCCACCCCAGTCAGATATGCCAGGTGAGAGTGCCAGGGTGCAGGGTTGTGGGTAGTGAAAGTGAATTCTCTCAGGATAAAATTGCTGTCAGGACAGGACCCACAGGTCGCTATTTAAGGTAAAGGGGTCTTCTGGCTTGCCTGGGCCATTTCAACGGGGTATTTTTGCAGAGATAATTGGTAAGATGATTGCTGGTTAATGCCAACTGTGATAATGGGTTTTGTGACGCAGATCCTCATTTGCTAAGAGCCAGAGTAAACCAGACTTGCCTTCTGGGATCTGCATACCACAACAGTCCAGAGATCACAATTATGAAGACTATTTTTCCTGAAGACTCAAGGTCACAGTTGAGGTACATCAATCTAATAATTTATTGCTGATCAGCTCACAGCCGCCGTTATGAGCCAAGGTGCCAAACTGCCTTTCACATAACTAAGAGCATGTATACCGAGGGTTGCCACTGCCCATCTCATGTACAAGTGCCTTCATCTGTGGGACAGCACTCGTGAGCCTTTTCCACCATTACAGGATCATGGAAAACAAGGCTGAACATTGTCTTGACTTTAGAGCCCTTGGTACCCAATAGGAAGGTGCTGGCAACAGGGGCTCTCCTTTAGGCTATAGATCTCCCACCTGCTGTCTCCATACCCTCCCAGTGTGGTGAGCTTCAGGGACTTGGCAGATGTCAGCACTTTTTCCACTAGAATTGCAGTTTTCTCCTTGGGCTGTGTCTAAATTTCCTTGGCACCAAGGGAAGGTATGACGTTACCAGCACTCCAGGGAATGCAGTGCCATACAATTATTACTTTTCAGATATGCTATACAGATACACTTGGAAACTTCCATTCTCTCCTTCCTTCAAAATACACGGCTTGAGTTGTTGCATTCGGAGACTGTGGGTCTCTGACTCTCTAATGGTTTGCCTGCTCAGGGGGGGTGACAGCCTGCAGTAAATGTGCCTACACTGCCAGACATCTCAGCTTCCAAGCCCATTTCCATGTCTGGTGTTAAGGTGAACCAGCTAGACCCCACCAAAAGAAGACCTGCAGGACTGCTCCCAGAAGGCAGCTCAGCACTGTGACATTTGGCTTCCATCTGCCCCTTCCAGTCCTTCCAAGCCATCCCAGACCTTGTGCTCTTTGGCTGTACCCTGCCACCACCCCCTCCTTCTGCAGGACATGCAGCACAACCCTGAGTGTCAGGCAGTAAAATCATTGCCTTCCTGGGCTGCCACACAACTCAAATTATTTTAGGCATGGTGACCTCAAGCGCACACAGAAGCAACTATTATGTCTTATGGCCACAAGGCCAAGTGCCACACATTGTGGGCATGGTCGCTCTGCTCTAGAGCCAAGATAGCCCTGGGTGGTGTCAGCATGAGATGTTCTGTACTACCTGTCCTGGGAGGCTGGAAATCATTCCCTAGGGTGGATGCCACTAGAGATATAACCTTTAGCTACTAACTAAAGAAATTACTTCTCCCAGTGCAGGGGTGTACCTGTGTGCTTATTAGTATTAGAAATTGTAGGTTCCAGACCTAACTTCGATGAGGCTATTGTAACATTATCTAAAATATTGTCTTTTTGACTTTTTTTTCATGAAAGTGTTTAATGCCTAAAAATTTTCCTTTCCCTGATTTGCCCTCTTCTTCTCCAAAACTATATGCACACACACAAAAAAATGAGTTCTGGAAGTCTGGATGCTTTCCTAGAGCATTTAATAGCACTGAGGACATGAAATACAGTACTGAGTCCTCTGGGAAACCTACAATTAGTGGGATGAAAATACCTTCTGTAAATGATTGAGCTCCTGAAACAGTGTGAGTAATTAAAATGCTGTACAAGACAGAGCTGAAAATCCTTACAGGATTATCGGTGAGGCATTGTATAAAAGATGTCCTTGGGCTGGACAGTGGCAGCAACACTGAATGCAGGCATTACTCAGAGCTCCTGCTGGGAATGGAAGGTGGCAGATACCATGTGCAGTACCTGGTTAGTTTACCTCCATTTCTATCCTCACTGTTACAGCTGAGAGGAGCTCTTCATAGCTTATTTATTTCATCCCAAAAGGACTACAGATTGGTTGGTTATTGGGGGGGGGTTTGTTTGTTAGATCTTTTTGTGGTTTGTTTTTAAACCAGTCTGTAATGATGGCTGGGAGTCCAGAGCCAGGGAAGGGACAGCTTTGAAAAGTTGTTCTCTGTACATCTACATGTGTGGTGGTCTTATTATATGTGTTCATCTGATCTTATCCAGGGATCAAGACCAAAGAGCTGCCCACAGACCTGGTTAAACATTTAATGCCTCTTTTGCAGTTTCCATGCCTTGTTTCCAAAGGCATTTCAGTACCTGAAGGTGCCTACAGAGCTTTCACAGGTCCTTTGCTTGTTGGATGCCAAATGTGATGGGACTGAATTGTATTACTTTGTTGGAATCCTTGGAAATTTCCACTAGGATTCCATTTGCCATGAACCTAAAATCCTTATGAAGTATAATCTGGGTGTGTTTTTTGTTTGTTTGTTTTTCTGCCTGGCAGGAAAGGCTTCCTGGAGGTGCACTTCCCAGCATGGCAAATCCTGCACAGCGTGCATAGAACAGCTTCAGAAATGGCAAAGGCTCCAAGGTACTTATACATTATGATAACCAGTTGGACAGGATTGAAAAGGACAGTGACACATTATGCAAGTGAGCAGTGGTTAATTTACTTTGTGGAGATGTTTAAAACTGAGCATTGTTTTGGGCTCATGAGTGGAAGTTTATTATTATAAATTTGTTGGAGGGTAAGGTCACATTTTTGTTTCCTGGGTGAAAAGTGAGGCCAGACAAATACATAAATACAGTTACAAGCACAGTTAGCAGATGACTGCCTCTTATCTGATGTGGGATGGCATGAGTGAGCTGATGGGTGTGGGCTGGGGAAGGGATGTGAAAGGGGAAATGCTTTGCACACAGTAGGCCTGGAGTGAATTTGAGTTGAAGAACTTTGCAGGGAAGACAGGAGTGAGAGAAAGGGAAGAAGAAAGGAAAAAAGACATTTTCCTTGGTTGGGTGAAGGTGGTGGGACTGGAGGGAACTGGAGTGAAGGTGTGTGTGTGAGTGGGCCAGACCTGAGCCATGCACATGGGCAAGGGGGAGCTGACTTGAGTACAAAACAGGTTAAACAAGGACACACGGCAAGAAGATAGGAAAGGGAGGGGGACCTGAAGGTTGGGAAGGTAGAAGGTGAGTCCAGCATGACAATACAGTTGTGAGATGGCAGGCAGGCCTTTCCTTTTCTAGAGGCAGTTGCTTATGGCTGCCTATTATGTCTGTTTTTATCTCTCTGAAAGGAAGCTTTCCAAAAGCATGAATAATACCTTATTAGGTAGATGGTAAAGCCCCTCCTTTTTATCCTGCTTTAATTCATGCTTCCTCTGCTTTGGTGGCTGCCTTGTACACAGTGCTGTTAAAAGTGCAATTATCATTCTTCCTGGTTGGGCGGCATGAAGGGCGTATCCTCTCGCAGCATCTCCTGGAGGCTTATTACTCAAGAGAGAGGAGTTGTGCACTAGAAGCCAAATTAAAGTGAGCAAAGAGGAGGCCGTTTCCACCGCAGGGATAGAACAGATCGTTTTTCTGAAGACCAGGTCAGGAGCTAGTCTATGGGAGAACATGTAGCTGGAAGCTGGAAACCTGTGATGTAGTGAATTTGTGCCATAGAGATGAAAGGCAGAATCCTGTGGTTCTTTGTGGCTTAGCCTGGATCCCTCCCTTTTATCCACTGCTGTAGGGATGTGGGTTGGTGAGCATCCTGTGCTTGACAATGGAATATTGTCCTGCACAGGTTTCAAGGCTAGGAGCTGTAATTGTGACCCTCTCCTCTGGTCTTCTGCAGGATCTTGAGTGTTGCTTCTCAGAGTACTATTCAGACCTAGCTTTAAGATTCCAAGTGATGGAAAATGCAGTGCATCCTTGAAAGAACCACCTTTTCCCATCCTCTTTTAAAAAGTATCTTTTTTCTCAGCATGAATTTGTCTGGGTTTTAGCTGTCTTCTACCATTGCATCACCACTGTTTTCCTTCTGCTTGTTGGCAAAAACTCCTTACACACCACTCACTGATCAGCTTTGAGGGGCAAATGGAGTCTCCATCTCTATTTGCCAGGATTCCAGATGTCTCTGAAGCTTTCTAAGCACCAGGCAGCAAACAGTTAAGGCAGCTGAGCCACAGGTCTCAGAACATTTTGCTAGGGAGCCAGGTGAGCAAAGAACAGATAAAGGCAACACCTGCCTATGGGTTTGGAACAGCCTGGGGCCATGGATAGAATGTAAATACACTCTGAAAATCTTATTGTCTGACACTGTGCCAGCATCTTCTGGGTTCTTGTCATGGAAAATATTTCAGCTGAGGTCATTCAGTCAGCAAAAAAACCAGCATTTAATACCCTCTGAGGTGCCAACTTGCTTCTTTCTTTGTGTCGATAAATAAACAAGGTAGGGTAGCATTTCATGTTGCCAGGATGATCTTTGTTTTATTAGGAAGGGTTTAGAGTCTGCTGATTATTTTTTTCGTTTTTTTTCTTTCTCCTTCCTCCTCTTTAAATCCAAAGACTGTATGTTTCTGCTCCCTTTCTCTGTTTGCTCCTCTTGGCTCACACACACGCCCAGCCTTTAGAGTTAGAACTAATGTCTGCTTCTTGTAAATCTCTGCTGGCTGCCCCAGGCTGTGTTTTTAATTCCTTTATTCAGCTTTGAGATGAGTAGGAGAGAGGTGCAGCTTTTTGAGATGATGGAAGTTGCCATTTCCCTTCTTCAGTCAATTAGGTGCTTTGGTTGTTTTCAGCTAGTTCTCAAAACTTTCCATTGATGATAGTGCTAAGGGGCGTGGGGGGGAATGCTGAGGGATCGGGGAGGGAGAAGAGGGAGGGCTGGAAACTGAATTATCTGCTGGTAGAATGACTGATTTGCTGCCTGTGCCTCGGGAGAGAGAAACAACCTGACTTCAGAGCTGGGTTCAGAGCAGCTGAGCTTCTGGTCAGTCAGATTTATGGCTTTTGATTACATTTGTGCAGTGCCTGTCCTTTCTTAAGTGTGACATGAGACACAGTGATCTTGTCAGTGCCCCTGGGGAAACTATTGCTTTTTCTTCCAAATCTTTGCAGTAAGAAATGCCTTCAAAATTTGCATGGAGCTTCCCTTCATTATGTGTCTTTCAGACCCCTCCCCACATCCTTCAACTCCAGACCTTTTGGGTTAGTCATGGGTGTGCAGGGACTACTGGGTAAGGAGGAACTATTTGTCTAGAGGCGATCTCTACCTATCAAAAGCCTTCACCTCATCTATTTTTTGGCCAACAGTCTCTCCCTGGCTCCTCTAGGCCTTGTTTACTGGCCTGTAATTCCCAAGACCCTCGTGGGTGGTAACTACCTCGTGTAGGTGTTGTAGAAAGCACTACAGAGTCCTGTGAAATCCAGCAACAGTGTTCCCTTTCTTCCACTGTGTTTCAACAATGATATGAGAGCAAAGGATGGGCTTTGCCTTCTGAAGCATCAGCTCTTTCTACTTTCAGGCAGGGAAGGAATGAGATCAGTCCTTCCACATCAGCACTTTTCTTTATCTTGTTATTTTCTGCCCCAAGTCTGTCAGGGTCTGCGGCTTGCCTGGTAATGAGTCTGCAAACCTTGGGGCTGGGAATCATCTCACCTGATTTTGGTTATCTAAAGCTTAGACATAAAGTTTAAGATTGTCATCTAGACTCTCTCTTTGCTTAGTGAGGAGTGATAAACAGCCCATGCCATTCACCTTACCCATCCTAGACATCTGCCTTAGTTTGGGATGATTCATACTTTGGAAGCTCCTGCGCACTCCACAAACTGTCAGGGAGGCATAGGTGAGCATTCAGATCTGGACCCCTAACTCTCACAGGGCTCTTCATCTGAGAAATCCAGCAGCTGTCTTATTTTGACCATTTACCAGGGGTATTGTTTATGTGCAGGATAGAATTATACTGTCCCATGTTTTAAGGGGAGTGACCTGTGCCCATCTAACTGCTGAGATGTCTGTGCTGATTTTGATGGAGATGGTGTTCTGCCTGTGATGGCCCAGAGGAACAGAGGAGGTTTTTAAAGTGAGAAGGTCAAAAATACTTTGTCAAATGTTGTCATTCTGCTATCAATTTTTCAATCAGTCAGGTGGATTTTAAGGCTACCAAAGAATATGGGGGCCTGGTTTCCATCAAAACTAAAGATCTCAACTGCTTTATATTTGCCCTTATGTTAATCTGTGAGGTCATTGCTTATCCCTGTGTATATCTTTGAGGGGAAAGACTGCAGGCATTCCCCATCCTGCATGAGATACAGACCTCAAAATATAGAGGGGAAAATAGATTTTGGATCTGGGCTAATCTTCTTGAGTTGCTGCTGGGAGCACAATGGTGGCAAATTGCTGTGGCAGGGGACCCTGCTCTTCAACTGAAGACAGGAACTAGGCTGACAGGACAATAATAGTGTGTTGGCTCAACTGGCAAACTCACATCCCTTTTGGACAGACTCAAAATGTTACATTGAGAGGCAGTTAATACACCGTTGTGTAAGGTTCCTAATGGACTGGAGCCAGAATGCTCCATTAACCACACACATATAAAATATTCATTGAGCTTGGGTTTTGTTGCCAAGCTGGAGAAAGGGGGAGAAGCTTTGTGTGTAGAGATAACACTGTCAGTATTGAGGACTGAAGGGAGGAGTTGATGATGTGTTCTGAAATCTTTTATTCTTTTTAAGAAGAGAAGTATTTCTGATCTTTGGCAGGGTGTTAAGGGGTGCAAAGAGGATTAAATGCAAGACTTGCCAGGTTTTACATTTCATGTTTAATTGACTGAGGGTTGAAGGTACCTCCTGTCTCTGTGCCAAACTCCTTGATCTGTTCTGTACCATGTGCTCTCTGCAAATTAAACACAGGGTCAGTCTTTAGAAAATAATAAAAATAAAAATGTGAAAACCACAATTGTGTTCCCCAGAAGGCTGGCTTCTAAATAGAAGAAAACTTCCCTAAGCACAGGAAAGTGAGGGCTGTGGTGATAGGAAGTATAAGCACCAGAGTTTCTCTCTGGAAAACACATGTTCACCTGTTTTTTTGCTGGTTTTAGGTGTGCAATAAAAGAAGCTTTCTGTTTTCTGGGTGATGAATGTACAGTGGACTTTTAGAAGAGATTTGGTTGGGAGAATTGGCTTGTCTTGTTGGTGGTGCTTGAATTAGAAGACAATAAGACAAATCATAAAATTGTGTTTCAGACTGAATGAGTAAACGTGTGCAGAAGATACTGTCCATGTGACCCCTCTCTCTTGCCAGAAGGCAACTTTGTGTATCCGCTTAACAAGACACATGCTGGAAGAACCACAGTCCCACTGGGGAGGAAGGGCCAGGCTGTGGAGCTGTGTGGGACTGATAACTGGGAATACAAGGCCAGGATGGAGCATGTAGTGATTTGCCTATGCTCTGGGGGCTTTGTATCTTGTGGTGTCTGAGCAGCCTCTGAGAGGATACTGGAGAGGAGCTGGTGACCTTCCTTGTGTGTCATATCTGGTCATTGTTGTGTGAGCACCAAGGAAATACAAGGGAGAGGTCCAGGAGGCAAAACACAACATTTTGATAGGAGGGATGGTAAAAAACAGGAACTCCATTACAGCATTCAAGAAATACTTGCCACAGACAATGAGAGACACAATGTGTGTCTAAGGAAGCGGTGTGGGAAGAAGACAGGAGAGATGCTCAGGAATGGATGGGAGGGATGGTCTCTTCTGAAACAGGGGTAGCCAGGCTGATGGCACTGGGAATGAAAACAAGTACTGGGAGAGTCTTTAAAATTATTTGAGATGAGGTCCTGGAGAAGAATACACTCATCCTGATGACAGGTTTCCCTCTGTGCCTTCATGGCAAGATAGAACAGCCATCAATAATGTTCAGATAATGCAACAGTGTAAGCAAATCCACAGTTAAACCAGGCACATGCAGATGGGCAGCTAAACCAAGACCAAAAGTATCCGTGCTTTTCTATAAATATTAAATGTATATAAAGTGAGGATGGGTGAATTTCAATGTACTGGCCTCACAGAAATCTTACTGAATGAAGCTAATCAGTACAATGCTGTGCTACCAGGATAATTATTATGTGGAAATAACAAGAATAGATTTTGCCGTTGGAGGAGTGACTCACAGTCAGTTGGAAATCAGAGTCCAATAAGATAAATCAGTTATCTGTATCATCATTTACCACCCACTCTCTATGGATTGAACATTGCCATGCCAAATCAAGAAAAACATTATCACAAACATACCCTTTCAAACATCTGACCATGGCAGTGAAAATATCCATGAAATTCTTAAGAAAGCTCAGAGGCAATGGAAAGAGAGTATGCAAGAAAATAGATGGGAGAAGATTTATCCTACTTAGGATATAAAGGGCAAATTTTAATTTACACTTTTAAACAGACCAACAAAAGGGAAAAGACACTTTTGACTAAGTGTCATTTAAACTGTAGCTGTTGCACTGAAGAATTGCTTGGCAGTAGTGACCACTGCATGGTCGATTTCAATACTTCACTAGTAATAATAACATTAGGAAAAACCTTAAAGACCATGACAGTATTTTTCTTTCAAAAGCATTTTAATATTTAAGAAATTTAATTTATTTTAAAAGCATTAATGAGCAATAATTAAGAATGTAAGTACCATGCCTGTAAAGTGGAGAAAACATATCTCATCAGTTCCCAAACTTCACCTAACCCCCTGAAGAAGTTACTAGTGTTAAAGAGTGGAGGAAGGGGGTCTATTAGAAATAAAAAGGTGTCCTTTAAAAAGTGGAAAACATGCCTAAGCAAAGAAAGCATAGAGGAATATAATTTCTTACAAGTTAAATGTAAACCTGTAACAATACAAACCAAAATATTTTGAGGAGTGACTCATAAAAGACATGGAAACTAATAACAAAAGTTCCTCCAAATACAACAGGAGCTGGCAGTCTGGTTGCAAATGGTGGGTTCAGCAAGTGACCGAGGTGTGAAAGGAGCAGTCGAGGTCAGCAAGCAGAGGCACTGTCTGGACAGCAAATGGGAAGTCCTCCAAGGTTTGAGCCCAAGGAATGGCCTCTAATTGAATTGTTAACAGAAGAGCTTTTAAAACAGATATGAATGAAATTAACAATAGCAAATCACCAGAACGGATGATATTCACTCAAATGTTCTAAATTACTCTGGTATGAAACTTTTGGGTTCAGTCAGCCCTGATCCCAGAGGAGGTAACTAATTTGACACTAATCTCAAGAAGAGTTCCAGAAGGGATTAAAAGAACTGCAGGCGACTGAAGTCTGGCTTCTCTACCAGGAAAAATTAAAAGGAAGTTACAACAGATTTAGTGGCAGCATACGAAAATACGATATACTGCGGGTGTGTTAACACGACCTTTGTAAATTAAAGGCGTGCATTGCAAACCCTGGAGATCTTCAAAGGAATGAATAAGCATCTGGAAAAGCATGTGACACTTAATATAGTGTGCTTGGGGTTTTGAATGAATTTTGAAAGGGTCTCACCAAGGTATGAAAGAAAAGATAGCTGTAAGTAGCCAATTTTCACACTAGAAAATTTTTATGTTCCTTATAGTGATCCCTTGGGGGCAGGAGGGGGAGGGCAGTCCTTGTAGAGTTTCTGGGGCAGGGCAACTGTGTTCTTCAACAGCCCTGCCTGGAAAAAAGAATTAGTAGGGAGGGGAGTGAATTCAGTCATGCCAAAAAATCACTGTCACGGTGATAAATAAAGCTTTTTGGTCCTTTGCAGAAGGATCTTGAGAAACTGGGCAGTACAGTGGCAGACAAAAGTCAGTGTCAATATACATAAATCTTACAAGGGAAAATAATCTTGACCATTCATGCCTCTAGGAAGCTGTTTTCTGTGTTTTTTCTGTTCAGGAAAATGCTTAATAAAGTCATTGTTGCTCATTTTCCAGAAATATCAGACAAGTACTAGAAGTCCTATAAATTACAAAGACAAATTTTTGGAGTTTTTTGGAATAATTGACAACGAAACAAAAAGCTTATGCCACTTCAGTATGTATAGGAGAGAGACAGAGATAATGATCTTCCTGTAGTGTTCCTGCATGCAGGACTGTTCATTCAGTTTCAAAAAAGATGTGTTAGAAGTAGAAAAGGCATTACAAAGAACAATAAGAGTAGCTAGAAGTGTGAAATATCACGTTTTTAAGGAGAAGTCTAAATAAAGCATTGCTTTTCAGTCTAGAAAATGAGGAAGCATTTGACAGAGGCTCATAAAATCATGAGTGATATGGAAGAGGTGAATGGGAACTGATCATTTCCTCCTTCCTGTAACACAAGAACTAAGGGAGCTAAAGAAACTGAATGCATAGTAGCATTGAATCAAAGGAGTACTTTTTAATATTTTATTGTGGAAATGATGATGGATACTGGAAACAGCAAAATGAAATAAATATAAGATAGGATCAGCCAAAATCTTGTAGAATCCATTCATCAGAGGCTACTAAACACAGTGGCCTGTGTGGGCTTGGAAGCTGCTTCAAGTCCCTAAATTGCTATGGCTGGAAACTGGAAGACTGTGACCACTCTGTGTGTGGACTATATCGTGTCTGTTAAGTACCTGCTTTTGCAGTGTTGCAGGTCAACTGCTGGGCTAGATAAAGCTTGGCTTTACCTGTGCCACCATGTTTGTGTCCTTTTTCTACAAAGGTTGAACTTACTTAACTCCAAAATTTGTTTCCTGCTTTGTGGTGTCCAGCAGTTCACTTGGACATATTCCTTTTCCTTTTGTGAGCTTTTGGCCTAACTGCTAGTACTCAGTTTTCCCTGCTTGATGTTCAAGTTTCTGCATCCTCAGCCTATGGATCCCTTTTCATATTTGGAGATAAGCATTGTGTTTCCTTTTAAAAATCACAGTATTTCAGCCAGATTCACAAAATCGATTGATTTATAAGCCCTGAGTTAACAATGCATGTAAACAGAGGACTAACTTTAAGCATATGCTTAAGTTCTGTGGATCTCAATCACATGCTTAAGTGCTTTGCCAGATAAAAATAGAAGCATGATTTAACAGTAAGCCTGACTTTCCATTGTGCTATTTTAGTTTTATGCTGATTTAACTCCAGCTAACTCAGCCAGGATACAGGACTTGGTTTGGAGAAGACAGCTTTGGTCTGAAAACAAGTTATTCCAAACCCTAGAGCTGGAAGAAGTTCTCTAGGACCAAAGATTTACAAGAAAGGGTGTGATGGCAGTGTTAGGCTGCTTCTTCTGGATTCATGGTAGGAGTTTGAGTTTCATCCTGGAATTGCACAACATCCAGATACAAGTGGGTGTCTGGCCATGCTGACAAAGTTAAAAGCATCCAGATGTGAATGTCTTGGCTATGGAAACTTTTGTGCTTTAAATGTGCTAGCCCAATTTTCTGGCAAGAATATTTGGACTTCTTCCTCTGCTGAGATTTTTTTTTCAGCATGATTAAAATGTTGAGCAATGTAGCGATTTGCCTATAGTATGATCTATATATCTGCCCCTGAAAAGCTAATCATGGGCCATTTCACCTCGATTTCCCTAAAATATAAACAGATATTAGAAAAGAGAAAGAAAAAGTACTGCTCCTGTTTTGAACTGAATTGAAAAATCAAGGAACCTCAGCAGTGTTTGAGAGAGGAAGAGCAGAATATTGTAAACATTATGCTAGAAAGATGAGATGCTGCACCCACCCCAGGTTTGATAGCAGTCCAAAGGCATGTGAATGAGTCAGGAGACTGGATTCTTTAATTTCTAATGTTGAATGCTCTTAAATCAGAGAATCAGCAGCCTGATTTTGTTTGTATTATGGTTCACCTAGCAGTTTGAAAAAGAGACATCAAACAGACTCTTCAAAGAATAATCTAGATTTGTACTGATTGCTTTCAACTCTACATGCATAACTGCCCTAGAATTTGAAAGGCTACTGACTTGAAATTGTTGAGAACTCTTAGAGTCATGTTATTGAATATATTTTTTTTGTTCTGAATTGGTTATTTAATAGGGAAAGGAGAAGGCATGAGAAATCCCTCAAATCATTTGAAGGAAGGATTGGTTCTGCTCCAGTGAAACCCTATGAGACCTGTAGTTAACATTAGGGGAAGAATTGCAGTAGAAGTTTCATTGCACTCTGCAGGTAAGGGAACTGATGGATCTGGACAGCAGGTGAAAACACATAGGTACCTAAAGGCTGATGCCCTGCTTTGAATCTGAGTTGCTGAACTGCCTCATGTCTACAAATTCTTGTGTTTAGAAAGACTAACTGAGACAGCTTCATTTTAAACCTCACAGTCATATGACAATGATCAAAAGTCATGTCAGAAAAAAAGAAGATGAATTGAACACAGAGTAATATTTGTAATGCTATGCAAATGGGTGGGTTTTTTAGTTTTTTGCCTCTAGCTCTAATGTAGCCCTCAAAGGTCAATGATGACTAAATCTTGTGTATTCCTCTAGTCTAAAAATATAAATGTGATCTTATAGAAAAATTAAAAGAATTTCTATAACTTTGAGTTGTACGAGTGGCTTACCCACTCACATTTGTGCAGAAGCCTTTCAGGACTGGTAAGGTTCGTTTCCTTTTTGGGCTGGGCAAATGAAAACTAATGCCAGTTTGTGTAGGAATCTCTGGATTGATGTGAGTGAAACATCAAAATTCATCAATATCTGCAGATATTTGCTTGACAGTAATAAACAACATGGCTAAAGCCCTAGGATGCTGGGATAAATATTTCTGTGAGCCCATAGGGGAAGGGAGGTAGATCACAGGATTTTTTGAGTCCAGAGGTAGGAAGAGTCACCTGCATGGAGATGTATGGAAGCTTTGTCTGTCTGTTCTGACAGAAAAATGCTGAAATAGTGTATTTCACTGTGGTAATAAAGCCAGACTGGTTTTGAAATTGGTATCCGATATCTTCTGCAAGTAATATTGCAGCAGATGGCTTCATTGCTCCCCAGTCCCAATCAGAAATATGGATTGTTCTTAAAACACTGAAGGAAATGTTAGGAAAAAAGCAGTGCAGACTCTGCATGCCAGTGTGAAATGGATAGAGAGATACAATGGCTAAAAGCAGAGGTGTAGGACTTGCCTTTAATGGGTACTTTTCCTGAATATATTACATAGTCTTCAAGGCTTATCTTAAAGTTCTGTGCACAAATAGGGGTGTGCTCTGTGTCTGAAAGTAGCAGAGACTAGCCTGGATCACAGAGGTAGAGCAAGTCTTGTTCGCTGGAACCTCAAGTTGGGTTTTAGGAACATGGAGCTCCATTCTTTGTTTTGTTATAAAGTTCTTCCATGTCTTTCAGCAAGTTCTGCTGGTTTACGTGCAGGTACTTATGCATAATACTATAGGCTAAAATATTTGCACATCTGAAAATATATAAGGAGGTGTGCTCTCCCACTCTTGCAGAGAAGCAGTTATGCCACCACTCTGGTTCTGGGATTGGGATCTCAGCCATAGAACTGTGCTCTCCTGGAAACAACAAACAAACAGTGGGTTGGCCACTCCTGCTGCAGCACACCCCCAAGTCCTGGTGCAAGGAACTGTTTCATGTGAACAGTTACATCTCCCAAAACATTTACATGCATATGCACATGCTCTCTCTGGGTTTTTACCACTTGACCATAATACATGAATCCTTTTCAGGTGTGAAACCTCCCTATGCCCACGTTTGGTTTTCTATGTACCTCACTGGGAGTGATATGGGTGCACAGGTAATGGCTTCTTTCACGCTAGTTGTCCAGCTTCAATTTATTGTTCCTTTCCCCTTGTACTGGATTGCTTGGTAATGCTGATATAACCTCCTTTTCGCTCCCTCTCCTTTCTCAATGTAAATTGACTTGCCACAACCTGCTACTCTCCCGAAATCACAAAACCTCAGAAGATAATTTGTTGCTGGTGCTGATAGCATCTGCTTATTCTAATGCAGCAGCCAGTCGGGCCGTGCTCGCCTGCAGATGGGGAGAAAATGACCTTCAGTAGAATCACAAACTTAACAATTCTGGAACAGCATCTCCCTCAGCAGCTGACTCCTGGTAATCTGAAGTCCATGTTTTCCGGGGGCAGCACTCAAAGCAGTGCAGAGCAGGTCTGCCATCAGTGAGGCAGAAGGTAACCTGCAGCTTTTTAGAGAGTAAGGAAATATGGGAATACTCACACTAGAATTGTGGCCTGAAAAAAAGCACTGTGCACCAGATCTTTCAGGATGCTTGGATTCTTTGTTTTCATAAGCATGAAAACTGCTTCTGCTCCTTTGTCCACAAATGTCCAATTGGAGTTCGATGCTGGTGCCCCACGGAAGGTCTGATTAGGACATTGTCACTTGGAAAATCAGATAAATAAAGAAAATAATAGAGTTTAAACTAGATAATCTATAGGAGTTCAATTGGTTGACTGGTTGTGATAGAATTGACAATAGTGGCACAAAAAGAGCCTTCTTTGCATCTTGTGAATAAACAGAAGATTAATGTTTTCTCTGGATAGTGGACCAATTTTCACTTCTTTGGAACTTGGGGGTATGTTAAAAATTAGGTTCTAAAGTTACATATGCAAATCACTGAGGTTTTCTAACTCCAAATCCTAGAAGTACAAAGTTGAAGATCTTTATTTTTATAGATAGATCTTTATTTTTGCTCTAATAAGAAACACAGTGGAAGTTCTAGAGGCTAAATAAATCTAAATTTAGATCAATATATTAAATAGATTGCTATGATCATTAATAATTAACATTAATATTAATTCAAGGAAATTCAAGGATATACAAGGAATACATATGGAATGACATACTAAAGAAATGTATCACGTGAAGAGGCATCTAGTATTGATTTTTGGAAACTAACTTTGGTCAGCTTCAGTGAGATTTAAAAAAAAAAAAGATCCATCAGCCTGATTATTACACTAATATTGATGTAAGAAGTTCCTATAAGCCTTTAACTTGCTCCCATATATATTCTTTCATAAACTTAAATGATACAGTACCAAATAAGAAATAGCAGATGGATTCCAACTGTTTCAGTTACAGATTTCAAAGTGGCATTTGTAAATAGATTTGAAGTGTAAACACATCAAATAACTGAGTTACTAGTGGCATCCATTTGTTACATTGAATTGCTTAACGGTGTGGCAGTGACTGTGAGAAGGGGTGAACGCCACACTGCTGATGTTAGCAGATGTCAGGAAGACTAGTTCAGCATATTGGATCTGTTCTAGTTCATTCATTGGATCTCTTGATAGAATGGAAATAGCAAATAATTTTTCTCTTCAGGATGTTACAGGTAAAGGAAATTAAAAATCTGAGATCTGTGTACCAGATGGAATAGACTGAGCTGAGAAACAGGAATCTGGAAAAGGATTGAGGGTTTGAATGCATAATTGGCTGAGTGTCATCTCTCACTCTAGTGCTGTGGCCAAAGGGTCTAAAACAATCCTTGGATCCTTTCTAACGCCCACTTGATATTCCCTGTCTATATACCCAGGGATCACTTTACTGCTGTGTTTGGCATTGGTGCAACTGCTTTGGGAACACTCCATCCAGCTGTGGTACCCACAATTAAAGAAGGATGTTGAAAAACTGGCTGTCTTTCAGAGAGGAGCCACAAGAATGACTGAAGGATTGGCAAACACGCCTTACAGTGCAGTCCATCTCCTTAGTTTACCAAACAACAAGTCAAGAAAAGTTTGGTTTTCAAGTATGCTATATAAGGAATAGAAATTCAGAAGCAGAAGCTTCTTTGGGCAATAGTACAGTAAGAACTGGTAGTTAGAAGTTGGACGAGTTCATACTGCATATAGGTCTTCAACATTTAACAGTGGAAACCATTCTTGGAGCAAAAGTCAGGGCTATGGTTTATTCCATCATTTGCAGCAGAGATTGGATGCTTTTCCCATCAGTTGCACTCTAGTTCATACAGGATATTCACTCAAAGCAGTCTTGTTGCTGGTATCCTTTCAGAAATCAAACCTATTAACTTATCTGACCGTGGCTGTCCTCTGGCTTTGTTAATTTATAGATCAGAGTTCTCACTCCAAGTTGTTCATGATCTAGAGGCATAACATCCTTCAGATACAAATTCTGCTGTCTGATCGTAAACTTCATTCTCCAGTTTCACTGTAGGATTGGATAGGAAAAGGAAGAATTTGTGGAAAAATTTGTATGAGAGATTTTGATTGATCCTATGAAAAGCTTAGGGACTGGATGTTAATTTTAGAACCATTTCTCCATGTTTACAGTTCCCATATCAGCACACAGCCATTGGCAGGGGACAGGACAGAAGGTTTTGAATGAACAGTGAGAGTCAGGCTCCTTCTCTCAAAGGCTCAAAGTCATAGTCTGGCAGAAGATCCACCAACATTTCTGAAATGGACAAGGGAGAGGAAAGAAGAGAAGAACCATCTCTCTGGTAGGTGCCAGGTCCTACCCCGATGTTCCCTCTAACAAAGCCTGACCTTGCAGTTTTGACTACCAGTCAGTCTGTGTGGTGCCCTGTGGCCTTGGCCACTATTCTGCCTACCTCTCTAAAGAGAGATTTTTTTTTCCTGGGCAGCAAAAAAACATATTTGCAATGGCACAGTGAGAAATTCTGCATTTCTACTTCCCACACTATGCCCTGTGAGGAAGAAGTCTGCCTGAAATCTTCCTCTTAAAAACAGAAATGGGCATGGCACATTTCGGTGTTCACTGAATTGGGATTGAATCCAAATATTCTTTGAATGCGATCAAACCTCAAGTCTGGAGGATGTCTGAGCCTTGGATCTGGGTTCTTGACATTTTAGAAATACTACTTTCTGGCCTGCTTCTCTAGGAGCACTCAAAACCCTTCAAATCAAACCAGATCTGTGGCTTTTCCCACTTCACTTCTGGGCTGCTTTGATTTCTGAGCCTTGAGCTTACCAAGTAGAGGCCACTTTGCTTTCTTCTACAGGAAAGTATTGTCACTAGGATGATCTGAAACAAGGAAATTTTGCTGAAGCCTTGATCTGAAATGTTTTATTTCAAGGGGTTTTTGCTTACTTTCATGTCTATATGCTTTCTCCGAAAGCACCTTTGTAAGACTCAGACTCTGCTATGATTGAAGCTGACTCTGTACTCTTAGTTTTCACCACCTTTTAAAGTCCAAATCCAGGAGCTTTGCAGTGCAGTAAGGAAATGTTTTTACCAACCTAAGGTGTGTATGAATGTGGCAGATAGAGATGTAGTTCATCTGAAGGTATTTGCTATCGTGACTGTAAAGTGATATGAATATTTTAGTTATCAGCAGTTTCTAGGCATTCAAAATAGGTTGTGTGATGATTACATTTGATATATTTGTGAAGCAATGATAGAAATATCACTAATAATACCTTTTAAGATATATCCTTTTTTTTAGAGAAGTGACTTTAGTTTGGATCAGTTGGAGACCTCTGGAACAAATTAAAGATAAAACTGGAAAGATATTTTCCCTTCTTCAGTATACTGTCAATATTGGGTCTCCTTAGTCAAGCAAAAGGTTGCTGTTGAAAATAACTTTGTGAAGATACAACCAAAGCAAAAGTAATACTGAAATACATCATGTTAATTCTTACAAGACAAGCATTCTTTCTGGAGCTATTCTGAAAGGGTATTTCAGCAGGAACAAGAAGATTAGGTGATGAAGAATAAAAAAATTGTTTCTGTTTTCTTGATGTTATAAGGTTTGGTTTTTTGTAAAAGAAATATATTGACTGATGAAGGCCCTGATTTTATAAATGTCAGAATAAAGTGATGTGTTAACTTGGGATTTCCAGATTTTTCAAAAACCAATACCTTTCATACTTGTATTTCTCTAGGTTTCCAGAAAAAAACAGACGAATGAGACTGCATGTGTTCTCTGGGATAATGTGTCTGTCAGGACCCCTATGTTCTCCCTCAAAAGAGGCCCTGCATGGCAGATGTTACCTCTTCACCCAAAGTCTCTTTGCATGTGAGCCTTCCAGCTCTAAGCTATTATGTTTGTGTTCAGAGAGAAAAGGGTGAATCATCGTCTTAATTAAGGTCAGTGTGTGATACCTCTGTTATTCTTCCAGCTATTCTCAGCTGGTGAATAAAGAGTTAAAAATAGGATATAGACTGTTCTCTTCTGTACTCTTTACTGATAGCTCAGTTTACAGAAAGGTTCTATAAACATTCTCAGTGATAGTGTGTTTTGATTAATATTCACATATCTATCCAGGCTTTTTCTTTTAAAGGCTAAGTTGAATGCAGACTGCAAAATCAATTGAATTGTGTTTGTCCAGTTCATCATTAGGAAGTTAGACCTTCGGTCACACTGGAATTTTTTTCAGCCTAACTCTGAGTTGATCAATCTTCATATTTTTAGTAGGTTTGTGTTTAAAGCACATGAGTAGAAATAAATCAATTTCTCAGACTCCAACTAGAACAGTAGTTGAAAGTCAGGGTCAGGAACTTAAGAGAGGAAAGAGGGAACTGGGTTCCACATCAGTGCAGCATTTTCTCCCGATAACTTGTATGAGTTTCATTGCAGGCCCCAAGGGAAAGAATTTTCTACTTGGCCTACAGGAGGGAGTGTTCAAGTGTTGGGAGAGGCAGGGTGAGAAAGCAGCTATGTTGCTTAGGTAGTTGTTCTTAGAAAAGCTTCATTGGCAAACTCGCACAATAATTTTGCAAAAGAAAAAAAGTCTTGCCCAAGAAGGGGAATTTTGCTGACAAGGTGTTAAGAGAAGAAATATCTGCTTTTATTTCATTCTGTTCTCT